AATCTTCTAAATGAAACAGCAAAAGAATACATACACACACACACACACACACACACACACACACACACACACCCTCACATACATACTTTTCCCTGCAGCACATGGAACTTTTACAAAAATTGACCATGTACTATGGCATAGAGATATTGCAAAGAAAAGTAGAAACACAGAAATTGTGAAGACATCCTTTCCAGACCATAAGACAATAACAGTAAAAATTGGTTGAGGGCCCATAAACAAAAGATATAAACCCACAGGGAGAGTTAATAATGTAATCTTAAGTAATGAGTGAAAGAACAAATCATAGAAACAATAATGATATAAAAGTATAATTAGGAGAAAAAAAACATTCCAAAATTTCTGGAACGCAACTAAAGTAATTCTCACAGGGAAAATGACATTCTTACAGTCATACATTAACAAAAAAAAGAGAGAAGGTTAATGAACTAAATACACATTTAAAAACTTAGAAAATCAAGAAATAAACAAAACAAAAATTAGCATAAAGAGGAGATATTAAAATTAGATTAAAAATAGAGAAATTGGGAACAAGAAAACATAGAAATGATAAAACTAAAAGTTGTTTTTTAACATTGATTGATAAATTGATAAATTCAGTTACATTTAAATAAATGAATCTGATGAAAAAGAAGAGAGCAGAAAATCAAATAAAAAAGCAAATAAACAAGGTGAAGCCATAGCAAAACTAGAAAAAATAAAAAGAATAATCAGAATATATTATGCAGTTATATGCTAATAAAATTGAGAATCCCAGAGGAAGAAGAATATCGTCAAAATATAAAATACCCAAATTATCAGAAGACAAGATAAATACCCTAAATAATTTGATCTCAGAAAAAGAAATACATCTAGTTGTAAAGGAACTACCAAAGGGGAAAAAAAAGGCTCCTGGACCTGATGGATTCACAGAATTATTTCATCAAACTTTTATAGAATGGTTATTATTTATACTTTGCAAATTATTCTCAAAAATTGAGAAAGAAAGGAACCATATCAGAATCCTTTTGTGAGACAAATATAGTCTAATACCTAAACCAGGGAAAGATAAAACATGGGATGAAAACTATAGTTCAATATTGTTAGTGAACAGTAACTCAAAATTTTAAACAAAATCCTGTCAAAAGATTACAGTGAGAATGACAATAATTAGACAACATACCAAAACTTATGGGATGCAGCAAAAGCAGTTCTTAGGGGAAGTTTTATATCTCTAAATGCTCACATGAATAAAATAGAGAAAGAGGAGATCAATGAATTGGGCATGCAACTAAAAAAGCCAGAAAAAGAACAAATTAAAAATCCCCAATTAAATATTAAATTAGAAATACTGAAAACCAAAGGAGAGATTAATAAAATTGAAATTAAGAAAACTATTGAACTAATACATAAAACTAAGGGCTAGTTTTATAAAGAAAAACATAAAATAGATAAACCTCTGGTTAATTTACAAAAATGTAAATTGCCCAGATTAACAGAAGAGGAAGTAAAATACTTAAATAACCCCATCTCAGAAAAGAATTTGAACAAGCCGTCAATGAACTCCCTAAGAAAAAGTCTCCAGGGCCAGATGGATTTACAAGTGAATTTTATCAAACATTTAAAGAAAAATTAATTCTAGTGCTATATAGACTATTTGGGAAAATAGGCAAAGAAGGAGTGTTACCAAATTCTTTTAATGATATAAACATGGTATTGATACCTAAGCCAGGAAGAGTCAAAATAGAGAAAGAAAATTATAGACCAATTTCCCTAACAAATAGATATACGAAAATTTTAAATAAAACACTAGCAAAAAGATTACAGAAATTTATTGTGAGAATAGTACACTATGACCAGGTAGGATTTATACCAGGAATGCAGGGCTGGTTTATAGGAAAACTATTAGAATAATTGATCATATCAACAACAAAACTAACAGTAACTGTGTGATTATCTCAATAGATGTAGAAAAAGCTTCTGACAAAATACAATACCCATTCCTATTATAAACACCAGAGAACATAGGAATAAATGGAGCCTTCCTTAAAATGATAAGTAGCATCTACCTAAAATCATCAGCAAGCATTATATGAGAGGGTACTAAGTTAGAAGCATTCCAGTAAGATTAGGGGTGAAACAACAATGTTCATTATCACCACTGTTGTTCAATATTGTGCTAGAAAAATTAGGTTTAGCAATAAGAGAAGAGAAAGAAATTGAAGGAATTAGAATAGGTAAAGAAGAAACAAAGCTAACACTCTTTGTAAATGATATGATGGTATACTTACAGAATCCTAGAGAATCAAGTAAAAATTTACTTGAGCAAAAGAAAATTATTTGAAATAATAAACAAATTTAGTAAATTGCAGGGAATAAAATAAACCCACATAAATCACTGGCATTTCCACATATATTACTAATAAATCCCAACAGCAAGAAGTAGAAAGAGAAATTTCACTTAAAGTTATTGTAGACATTATAAAATATTTGGGAATCTCCCTGCCAAAACAAACCCAGGAACTATATAAGCAAAATTACAAAACACTTTTCACACAAATAAAGTCATATCTAAATAATGGGGAAAACATCAGTTGCTCATGGGTAGGCTGAACTAATAAAATAAAAATGACAATTCCACCTAAATTAATTTACTTATTTAGTGCCATACCAATCTAACAATTTTATAGAGCTAGAAAAAATAATAACAAAATTCATCTGGAAGAAGAAAAAGTCCAGAATATGAAGGGAATTGATGAAAAGAAATGCTAGGGAAGGTGGCCCAGCTGTACTAGGTCTTAAATTGTATTATAAAGCAGCAATCATCAAAACTATTTGACACTGGATAAGAAATAGAGTGATGGATCAGTGGAATAGGTCAGGTACACAAGACACAGTAGTCGATGACTATAGTAATCTACCATTTGATAAACCCAAAGACCCCAGCTTCTGGGATAAGAACTCACCATTTGACAAAAACTACTGGGAGCATTGGAAAATGGTATGGCAGAAACTGGGCATAGGCCAACATCTTACACCATATACCAAAATAAAGTCAAAATGGGTACATGATTTAGATATAGATATCATAAGCAAACTGGGAGAGCAAGGGATAGGTTACCTGTCAGATTTATGGAGAATAGAAGAATTTATGACCAAACAAGAGATACAGAACTTTATGAAATGCAAAATGGATAATTTTGGTTACATTAAATTGAAGAAGTTTTGCACAAACAAAGTCAATGCAACTAAAATTAGAAGAAAAGCAGATTGGGAAATAATTTTTACAACCAGTGTCTCTGATAAAGCCCTTATATCTAAAATACATAGAGAACTGAATAGAATTTATAAGAATATAAGTCATTCCCCAATTGATAAATGGTCAAAGGATATGAATAGGCAGTTCTCAGAAGAAGAAATTAAAGCCATCTATAATCATATGAAAAAATGCCCTAAATCACTATTGATTAGTGAAATGTAAATCAAAACAACTCTTAGGTACCACATCACACCTATCAAATTAACTAACATGACAAAACAAGAAAATTATAAATGCTGGAGAAGATGTGGGAAAATTAGATTAGTGGTCAAAGGATATGACTAAATAATTCTCAAAAGAAGGACCAGAAAACATTCACAACCACATGAAAAAAAGTTCCAAATCATTAATAATAAGGTGGATGCAAGTTGAAATGACTCTGAGGTTTCACCTCACACCCTACAAATTGACACAAAAAAGACTCCCCCAAATGGCAACAGTCAGTATTTGAGGGGTTGTTGGAAGATAAATAATTTGTTGGTGGAGCTGGGAAATGGTATTAACATTTAGGAAAGCAATTTGGAATTATGCAAAATGACTAAATTCCATTTCAACCCCAAAACTTGATTGCTGGACTCACACCCCATGGAAACTATCAATAAGAAAAATAAGAAAAAAAGTTCCCATATAGTCCAAAATATTTATAGCAGCAATTTTTGTGATAGTGAAAAATTGGAAACACAGTAGATATCAGTTGGAGAGTGGCTAAACAGATTGCGGTACATGAATGTAACAGAGTGCTAATTGGCTGTAAGAAATGAGAAATATGGGGGCAGCTAGGTGGTGCAGTGGAGAGAGCACCAGCCCTGAAGTCAGGAGGACCTGAGTTCAAATCCGCCTTCAGACCAAACACTTGACACTTACTAGCTGGGTGACCCTGGGCAAGTCACTTAACCCCAATTGCCTAACAAACAAACAAACAAAACAAAAGAGGCAAGAAATGATGAATATGGAGAGTACAAAGAAGCATGAAAATATCTCTAAGAACTGATGGACAGTGAAGTGAGTAGAGCCAAGAAAACAACATGCACAGTAACTATAACAATGTAAATGGAAAGAACAATGATACACCAAGATAAATCAAATGAGATATGAGAAGACACCCCCAACCTCTACTACCCCTTGGTAGAGGTGGGAGGTCCACAGGTGTTATACATTGCACACATTTTCAGACTTTCTAAATTTACCCATCATTTATACAGACTTCCCCCCTCCTCTGACAAATATTAATTGTCATATGGCAAGGGAGAGGGATATGTGGGATACTGTGATGATGTAAGAGACAGAAAATATCAATAAAAACTTATTTTAAAAAATAGCAGTAACAGCAACAAGAACTATCATTTATATAGTATTTTAAGGTTTGCAAAATACTTTCATGCACTTAGAATTATCTCCTTCCTTGTCATCAGACTTCCCCTTAAAGAAACCAATACACAAAGATTTTGAAAAGCTCAGGATGGAGTCTGTTCGATGAGTATAATGAACAGAGAACCGGTGCTTGTGAGCACACAGTAGCCCCATCTTGGTCCAGGGGTTCAATGAGAAATATCCCTGCGATCCTCAGCCAGTAAGGGCTGGAAGAAACAAGACCCCCTCAGATAAGCCTTCATTAAGATCTTGTGAGGGTCACAATGTCCATGTCGCCCAGAAACCCAGAAGGACAAAGAAAAAGGAAACTCACGTGCCTGTCCATCGACAGATACTGCAAAAAGGAGAAAAACAAGAAGTTAGACAAAGTAAAAATTCTCACCCTTTTTCTTAGCATCTAGCCTTCTAAGAATATCCTCAGCTTCTCCCCTGACCATGCTACTTCCTACCCCACCCCTCTGATTCAGGCAAAACAAAAGCTTATAGTACCTGGCAAATACCAAGCTACTGTTTAGAACTTATCAACTTGGTAGAAAACACTCCCCTCGAAGGTTCTGGTCATCAAATCAGAGACACCCTCTTACTGAGTAGTACAAATTCAGCAAAGTACAGTGGAGGAGGGGTTGGTTCTAAGCTCTCTTTACTCACATTACTCCCAGCCTCAGCCCTGGGAAGGGGATTTCTTCTCTTAGTAGGTGCCCTGACCTAAGGACAGTGGACTGTAGTGGATGGAGATGTACACGGATCGGTTCTTGGATCTGCGCCTAACTAGTAAGTGACATCAAGCACGTTGTTTCATTTCTAAGGACCTCAGTTCCTTCCTGTGGAAAAATGAAATCATCAAATCTAAATCCCCTTTAGGGCAGCTAGGTGGTGCAGTGAACAGAGTGCTGGGCCTGGAGTCATGAAGACTCCTCTTCTTGAATTCAAATCTGATCTCAGACACTAGCTGTGTGATCTTAGGCAAGTCACTTAATCCAGTTTGCCTCAGTTTCCCCATCTGTAAAATGAGCTGGAGAAGGAAATGGCAAGCCACTCCAGTGTCTTTAACAAGACAACCCCAAATGGGGTTTGAAGAGTCAGACGTGACTGAACAATGACTAAACAACAAGGTCCCACCTGGAGCTCACATCCATAAGCTACTTCCCAGCTTGTGACTAGAACGTGATCTTTTTATAAGACATTCAACTCACTGCATCATCAAGATTTGTATCTAGGGAGATCGCTTTCTCTGAATAACTTTTTCTTTTCCGTACTAAATGTCATGCTTCCTCACTTTCACTTTGTCTAGCCTTCCTCTACAGGAAAAGTGAAACAGTGGTGATTGAGGCTGGGGGTGGTGGCAGAAAGTGAAGAGGGGGAAGTGTCAGACATATTCAGAGAGGGACACAAAGTCAACTGGACTTAGAGTCCTTTCTTATCAACTCCACTAGTGGGTGACCTGGCCAGATAAGGTCAGGGGTTCTGTCCAACAACCAAAGTGCCAAACTTCTTGAATTTTGGTTCATACCAGGTCCCTGATCAGGGCCTCATGGTGTGCCTGACCCATTGATGTTTGTCCTTTGTTCTCGAAGAGGAACATGACATCAAGGAGATGATGCCATGACATGCAAGTGATTTGGATTTAAGCGAAACAGGGCTGTGCAAAGTCACCAGCCTCACTTTCTCCTCTACAGCCATTTGGGTCCAGTGGCAAGAGATAGATCAGGAGGACTGGAGATGGTGCCATGCCTGATTGGAGGCCCTATTTCATGAGCTTCTGTGTCTGCATCTGCTGACTCGTCATACAGAAAGTATGAATCTTGTGGATGGAAATTACACTCTTTTGTCTACTCAAGGGAAGATTTGGACTGTTTATGTAGTAGAACTCCTGAGTCCCTATCAATCTTCTGTCTAGTGGGGCAGAAATTTCCCAGGTCTGGAAGAACAGAGAATTCAGTTACTTGGTAATGTTTGTATGTATTATTAATGAATTGTGCTCCTTGTTTTTTTATTTTCATTTATTTATTTATTTGTGTATTTGTGTTTTGTTAGGCAGTGGGGTTAAGTGATTTGCCCAGGGTCACACAGCTAGTAAGCATCAAATGTCTGAAGCCAGATTTGAACTCAGGTTCTTCTGACTCTGGGGCCACTGCTCTATCCACTGCACCACCTGGCTGCCCCCCCCTTGTGTTTTTAAGTAGTATTTCTTTTTTTTTTTTATTGATTGTAGGCTGAGTAAAAACATTACAGACATTATTCCCACATGTGTATTCTCTTCCTGGGATAAATATCTCCATTATGTCAGGGTCACAGGTCTAGTGCTCTCTGACATAGAATACAGTCAAAGAAAGGTCAGTTAGTCAATGAGCAGAGTCTCATAGATAATTTTGATTGGGTAAACTCTTTGATTACAATATATCCCAAGATACATTTGATATAGAGAGTGCTAGGCCTGGAGTCAGGAAGACCTGAGTTCAAATCTAACCTCAGACTTACGACCTCTGTGACACTGAACAAGGTGGCTATTTCTGTTTGCCTCAGTTTCCTCAATTGTGAAATGGGGATAATAATAGCACCTATCTCTCCAGGTTGTTATGAGAATCAAATGACATAATATTTGTTTAAAAAAATTCTTAGCATAACACCTGTCACATAATAGATATTATGAAAATGCTTATTCCCTTTCCCTGAGACAAAAAACACCATCCTTTATAGAAAAGCAGAGCTTGGGGTTAAAATGTCAATGGCTTTCAGAAGGTAACAATAACTAGCACAGTACTGATTCAGCATTTCTGCTCAAGCATGGTGTGTTCAGATCACCTGGTTGAAAAATTGAGGAAGATAGGAGAATTCCTTAGTAAGTAAGTGGCTGTCAGAGGCTACTTGGTTAAATAAGAAAAGTCCATTTTGATGGGCTTATAAAGTTTGCTATTAAATTCAAAAGGAGGCATGCATACCAAACAAAAGGCACTGACTGGAGTTTCTTCTGAAACATTAAAGTTGCTCAATTTCTTCTTGTTTTCCTTGTACCCTACATCTGCCCAGTTTCTTCTGCTTCCTGCCTTGCCATGTCCATGCAGACCTGATTCATATAGAAAGGCGAAGCATCAAATCTCCTTGAGGAGAATCTCTGCTTGTCCCAGGCTGCCCAAGTCTGTCAGAGAGATATGGGGTCAGGGAACATCTGAGCTGCCCCACCCAGGATATACCATACTCACCAAGAATCAATAGTGATATCCAAAGAAGCATGAGGATCAGATACAGGCTAAATGGGAAGAGACCTTCTCTCAGTGATAGATCAGTCAAATCTCAGAAGCAGGATACATCCATAGTGGTACCAAGCGACTTTTCAAAATAGAGCTGTTAGAATGAACAAAAGAGAAGTGGGAGGTGTCATTATTCAATGGTAAGCCAGCATTTCCTCTTCTGTAAACACTGAGAAACCAAAAGTGGTTCCTTATAGAATTGCTTAAGCATACCCCTCTACTTCAGCCTGTGATGATTCTGAGCTCTTACGATAACAGAATAGTTCTCTCTAGTTCCTGTTTATCAGAAGAAACTGTCTCTGATTTCAGAGAATGCTCAGATTCCAATCATCTGCTTTACACCTTTCAAGGGGCATTCCTTTTACTACTCCAAGGCTCACTTTCAGTTGACCATGCAGTCACACATTGTCACTCATCTGTGCTACAGTCTAGAGAGGGTCGAAATCTAAATGCAGCTCAAAGATGGATCTTGTCATCCTTAACATCACTATCATGGTCATTTTCATCCAAAAACTTATTTTAGTACTAATATTTTATGCGAAACAACTGTTGTACTGGAGGATTCAGACAGATTTAGTCCTTCCCCACTGGAAACATTATCTATCATTGACAATGATACTCATGGAAGGGAGATATGGAGGGAAAACCCCTAGAAACATTTACATATATATAAGTAGATAATGAATAGTATTACTATCACATGAATGTTAGGGTGAGGGTATATTTGCAATGGGGAAACAGAAGAGATGCATGCAGAGGATTCTACAGTCAGACAAGTCTGAGTCATCTGGGAACTTTCCTCTGATCCATCCAAGAGGATTTCCTAAAGGATGTGGAATTTCAGGAGCTATTTGAATGAACAGAGGAGATGGCCAAACAAGCTTAAGAATGTCCCATATGGGGGGCAGCTAGGTGGTGCAGTGGATAGAGCACCTGCCCTGAAGTCAGGAGGACCTGAGTTCAAATCTGGCCTCAGACCAAACACTTCACACTTACTAGCTGTGTGACCCTGGGCAAGTCACTTAACCCCAATTGCCTAAAAAAAACCCAAAAAACAAATAAAGAGTGTCCCTTATGTGGATACTTAGAATAAGAACAAACTACAAAACTGAAAACTTATAATATATATATATATATATATAATATATATATATATTTTGTGTTTCACACATACTGCTTTGCATCCTCCATAACTGTCAATTGTTTTGTGAGTGAATGAGAAGCCTGAATCATTCTAAAGTGTGGGTTCTCTTTTGTGCTTTCATGTTGATGCTATGGAAAATTTTAATGCGTGTTTGAACCTAGCCCTGCATAGTTGAGAAACTAGACTTATTGCTCAGAGACCAGATTTGTCTAGTGCTTAACTTAGGATATCCTCCTCCAAAAAACCTTCCAAGGGGAACTGAAGATTGATGCAAGAAGGAATGTAAGGAGTTTCCTCCCATTATACATCTCAAGATACTTACTTGTCTTATCTGAAAACTACTGGCAGGTTGGCTGTTATTTCCTTGTTCCTTTTTTAAAAAACTATGTATAAAGTAAAAACTCCAGAGAATCTGGGGAATAGGCCATCTATTCTGGCTCTCCCCACTGCTGAATGACTTAAAATTCTTTCTATGTTTCTCAGGTCTGGGTTTTGTTTTTGACCAACCAACAATACCTAGGTTGGGTTTCCAATGACCCACCCAGGTGTGGTAGTGGGAAGAATCCTGTATTATCAGCTAGAAGAAATGAGTTGGAGTCCTCAATCTGCCAAGAGCAAGCTGTGTTACCTTGGGTCACTTAAAAAAAAATTGAGCATGTAATAAATTTAACCTGTTGTCACCAACTTTCTTCTGCTTGTCCATGTCTCTTTCTGGCTCTCTTGATCTTGTTTTTTGCGCTAAACCCCCTCCTCTTCCAAAATTACTACTTTCTTTTGAAGGCACCACCTTTCTTCCAGTCACTTATGTTCATGTAATTGCCGGTTTCCTGGACTCCTCATTGTCTCTCACCCCATACACCTAATCAGTTGCAAATCTTGGTGTTCATATTTTCACATCTCTCACATCTGCCCTCCTCTCTCCACTCACACAACTACCATCTCAGTTTTCGGACCTCACCACCTCTGTTGTTGTTGTCATTTCAATTGTGTCTGACTCTCCATGACCCTAATTGGGGTTTTCTTGGCAAAGATCCTGGAGTGGTTTGCCATTTCCTTCTCCAGCTCATTTCACAGATGAGGAAACTGAGGCAAACAGGGACACGTGACTCGCCCATGGTCACATACTAGCAAGTGTCTGAAGCCAGATTTTAACTCATAAAGATGAGTCTTTCTGATTCCAAGTCCATTGGACTTGCAATTTATCTGCTTTATCCACTGTATCACCTAGCTATCCTTCACCGTCTCTAGCCTAGCTTATTATAGTAGCCTTATAATTAATTTACCTGCCTCAAGTATCTCACCAACCTAGTCCATCTTATACAATGCAGCCAAAGTAATTTTCCTTAAATATACACCTGACCACATGACTTCCTTAGTTGACCAACTGCAATGACTTCTTATTGCATTTAGTATAAAATATAATTGATCCTGTTAAGATGATAAAGCCACATACAACTTGGTCCCAAACTATTTTTCCAGATGCATTGGGTATTATTCCTCCTCCTATACTTTCCTAATGATTTATCTATTTCCCCCCCCACACAAAAAGTTCCTAGTTTCATTTATTAATTCAATGTGTTTTTTCTTTCATTTTTTTTATTAATTTCTTCTTTAATTTTCAGGATTTCTATTTTGACATTTAATTGGGTTTTAAAAATTTGTTGTTTTTTTAGTTGCCAATTTGTTGATCTTTTCTTTCTCTTTTTTCTGTTGATGAAAGTGTTTAGAGGTATAAAAGATATAACTTGTCTCCAAGGACTGCTTTACCTACCTCTAAAAAATTTGGGTATATTGTTTCATTACTGTCATTTTCTATGATGATATTATATATTATTTCTGCAATTTGTTCTTTGACTCACCCATTCTTTAACATTAAGTTATTTAGTCTCCATTTAACTTTTAAACTTTTCTTCAGTGGCCTTTTATTGAATATAATTTTATTTCATTGTTGTCAGTAAAGAGTGTGTTTAATATTTCTGCTTTTCTGTATTTGTTTAAGAGATTTTTATGCCTTAATACAAGGTCAGTAAATCTGAGGTCTACTATTTCTAAATTTTCTAAAATACTATTTAGGTCCTTAACTTTTTATTTTTTATTTTTATTCTTTTGATTGGATTGCCTAGCTCTGAAAGTGGTACATTGAAGACCCTCACTATTGTAGTTTTATTATATACTTATTCCATAATTTATTTTACTTTTCTTTTAAGTAGTTAGGTACTATGCCATTCAATGCTTACATATTAAGTACTGAAATTAATTAACCATTGTCTATTGTAACTTTCAGAAAAACATTGTTTCCCTGTTTATCTCTTTAGTCAAGTCTATTTTTTGCTATTTTTTAATCTGAGAGCATAATTGCCACTCCTATTTGTTTTATTTTAACTGAAGCATAATACATTTTACTCTAGCCATTTATTTTAATTCTCTGTGAATATTTGAATCTCTATTTGAAGATATTCTTGTAAAAATCATAGTGTTGGATTGTCCTTTCTAATTCATTTTGCTCTTCTCTTCAAATTTATGGGTGAATTTATCCCATTAACATTCATAAATATCATTAATTGCATATTTATCTTCTTCTTATTATCTTTTTTTCTTTCTCTCTACTCCTAATCTTATTATTATGAGTTTATTAAGAGTATATCCTTATAACATTCCCCACATACATGGCGCCTTGTGCATTAATGCAAATATTGATTGAATAATGCAGTGCTAGAGTGGGTGTTTAAATGGAAAAAAAAATTTCTAAAAGGTGTTGAATAAAATTTGAAAGAAAGAGGGAGATGTATTTTGAATGACAAGAGTTGGGAGGATGCTCCAGATAGGGAAAATGAACTGAGTCACTGTTTAGTGGGGATAATTTTTGCACAGAGGACAAAGGAGCCAATTCATAAAATTTAAAACAAGAAGTAACCTCAGAACACTTCTAGTTGCATTATCTAATTTTGTAGAGAAGGAAACTGAAGCCCAGAGAGGTTAAATGATTTCCCAGAAGTCACATAATGGTTAGATTTAAAAAAAAAACTCATAAGAAACATTGGCCAGAGTAGAAAAACCACAGGGGAAGTAAAAATGAAAATGAACATGATGGTTGGAACCTTGAATCATATGATAATTTACTTGGAATCAGGAAATCTGGGTTTTTATCTCACTTATATTATTTACCATAGGAGCACAGATTAGTCAGTTATAATCTCTGAGTCTCTGTTTCTTCATCTTTAAAGTAAGTGTAATAAGTCATTGTACATAACTTAAATGATTGTTCTAGGGAAGTCATTTTACAAACTTTAACTTGCAACAGAAATCAGTGATTATTAAAGTGATGATGATCCCCCAAAATTCAAGGTGTCCAAACTGCTAAATTAACCATCACACGCCTTCATGACAAGCCCCTGAATTTCCTTCATGAATGCAGATGTGGGTTTCATCCCACTGATAATCAGCCAATACCTGTTTTGTTACTTGGCAGGAGATATCTTGGGTATAGTGATTCACCTGGACCAATGACATGTACTAGTGTGTGCCCCTCAGGTGATTATCATTCCAGTTCCTTGTATACTATGGCTGTCTCTTTCTGGTTCCAAAGTCATCATATGATTCCCTACTGCCTGGATTTCCACATCTCTTCTTTGCAGTAGCAGATGTTTCCCACCATATCCACACCAGCAGAGAGCTTTGCAAATGACCAAGGCATTGAGAGAGGAAGAGGTATCTTTGGACCCGAATGGGCCCAGGAACCTGTTAGGAACCAAGACTAGAAGCCTCTTTCAGCCACTACTATTATTTGTTTCAACTAGGGCAAGAAAGATGAGGCCATATTCCTAGAAAATTAAGTGATTCTGATAGGGAAACAGAGAAATGGGGTAGAAAAAAATGGGTTGTTTTTTTCTGCTATTTGTCCTCCCCATCTTAGGTTTTAGGAATTGGGGTGGATAATAATAAGTAGGAATAATAAGTAGGAGCAATAAGTAGGAAATTTCTCTGATTTACGCTCTTTAGGCC